ACATTAGACACATAGTCAGTCCAATGGATGTTTAGAATTGTACGGAGGCAGCGCTGATGAAAGCGTTCCAGGAGTTGCAGGTGATGACGGTAGATGACCCATGGTTCAGACCCATATAAAAGAGTAGACAATACAATGGCTCTGTAGACACTGACCTTTGTACTTTTCTTCAGGTGTTTATTACACCAGACTCTTTTATGGAGTTTTCCAAAGGCTCTATATGCCTTTGCTATTCTGTTGTCTATCTCTTTGTCGATCGTGGCATCCGAGGAAACGATGCTTCCCAGATAGCTGAACTGCTGAACTGTCTTAAGCTCTGACTCGCCGATGGTAATATGGGGATGGCGATAATCTTCTTGCGGTGCAGGTTGGTAGAGGACTACTGTCTTCTTCAAGCTGACTTCCAGCCCAAAAACCTCAGCCGCCTCTGCAAAGCAAGATGTTAAACGCTGCAGAGCTGCTTCTGTGTGGGCAACAAGGGCGGCATCATCAGCAAAGAGCAGTTCACGGACAAGATGGTTTAGGGTCTTAGTGTGGGCCTTCAGTCGCCTTAGATTGAATAGGCTACCATCGGTACGATATCGAATATAAATGCCGTCTTGTTCGTCGAGGTCTGCTGTAGCCCTTTGGAGCATCATGCTGAAGAAGATTGTGAATAAGGTCGGTGTGAGAACGCAACCTTGTTTCACACCATTGGTTATTGGGAAAGGCTCAGAGAGTGCATCGCCATACCTGACTTGGCCTTGCTGATCCTCATGTAACAGAATAATCATTTTGAGGAACTTGGGGGGACAACCTAATCGTTCTAAGATCAGCCACAAGCCTTTCCTGCTCACAGTGTCAAAAGCTTTGGTGAGGTCAACGAAAGTTACGTATAACCCCTTGTTCTGTTCTCTACACTTTTCTTGCAATTGTCTGAGTACAAATACCATGTCTGTGGTACTTCTATTAGCCCTGAAACCACACTGACTTTCAGGTAGAAGTTCTTCTGCAATAGCAGGTACTAGTCTGTTCAATAGTATTCTTGCAAGAATTTTACCAGCAATGGAGAGCAGAGTTATACCACGGTAGTTTGAGCAGTCTGACTTGACACCTTTTTTCTTATACAGAGTGACGATGATTGCGTCACGAAAGTCTGACGGTATTTTGCCTTGTTCCCAACAGCACACAACTAGCTCATGAAATTTAGCGTGAAGTGCTTGGCCTCCATGCTTCCATATTTCAGGTGGGACTCCGTCAACCCCAGCTGCCTTGCCAGTTTTCACCTGCTGTATGGCCTTAAGAGTCTCTCCCATGGTAGGGGCTAAATCCAATTCGTTTTTCACTGGATGTTGCAGAATGTGCTGGATTCCTTCGCCTTGGACTACACGATTAGCACTAAAGAGGGTTTGAAAATGTTCAGACCAACGATTCAGGATGGAGATTTTATCTGTAAGAAGCGTTTGGCCATCTGCACCAAGTAAGGGGCTTTGAACCTGGAATGTGGGTCCATACACTGCCTTCAGAGCCTCATAGAATCCTCTGTGGTCACCCAAATCTGCACATAGTTGAGTCTTTTCTGCTAGGTTGAGCCACCACTTGTTCTGGATGTCTCTAAGTTTCTGTTGGAGTTTGCTACATGCAAGATGAAAGGCTGCTTTTCTTACATGGCAGAGTGGCTGAGCGAGGTGTGCTTGATGAGCAGATCTCTTTTTTGTCAGCAATTCCTGGACCTCCTGGTTGCTATCGTCAAACCAGTCTTTGTTTTTCTTTGAGGAGAACCCAATGGATTCTACGGAGGACTGCAGGATGCTGTTTTTGATATGTTGCCAAAGCGCTTCAGGAGAAGAATCTATACATTGGTCTTCAAGCCTAGTTTGAAGGTTAGCCTTAAAGCTGTCCCTCACTGCAGCTATTTGAAGATTATCAACATTGAGCCTCCTCCTCGGAATGGCGCCCCTCTTAGGTTTGGGCTTGAAGTGGAAATTAAGTTTGCAATGCACAAGGCGGTGGTCTGTTTGGCATTCTGCACTAGGCATCACTCTGGTCTGGCAGACATCACAAATATTTCTCTGGCGCACTAAAACATAATCAATAAGGTGCCAATGTTTAGATCGAGGATGCATCCAGGTTGTCTTCCAGCTGTCTTTCTGCTGGAAGATAGTGTTGGTGATGGTAAGCTGTTGCTCTGCACAGAACTTTAGTAAGAGATGACCGTTATCATTGCAGCTGCCAACACCGTGCTTGCCTAGTACTCCTTTCCAGGCTTCAAAGTTCTTTCCTACTCGGGCGTTGAAGTCACCAAGGATTATGATCTTATCTTCTATAGGAACTTTCTGAGTGAGGTGACGCAGGTCAGAGTAGAATTTTTCTTGTTCTGCAGGGTCAGTTTGCAGAGTTGGAACATATATGGTGAAAAGAACAACGTGTTGCATATTGTGCAGTGGAAGACGTAAGGAGATAATACGGTCGGAATGACCTATCAGCAAATTTTCAAGTTTAGAGGCTATGGAGTTTTTAATCATGAAGCCGACTCCAGAAAGATGACTTTCAGTTTTGGGTTTGCCTGACCAGTAGAGCGTATAGCCAGCACCATGTTCTTTGAGGCTACCTTCCTCATGAAGGCGAACTTCACTGAGTGCAGCGATATCGATGTTAAGTCGTGACAATTCATGGGCAATTAGCGCAGAATGGCGCTCAGGACGCCCACTGTTCACTGTATCAAGCATGGTTCTGATGTTCCAACATGCGAGTGTCAATCTGGACACACCTTTGGAGGCAGGTGTATGCCTTTGTCTCTTTGTTTTTAATTGACCGCAATAGAAGATGCCCGTTGGCCGCGGCTAGCCAGCCAGGTGGAGGGGGAGATGAGCTTTGGTTAGGCCACCTTTTCTAGGCCTCTCTCCATATGGAGCAAGCAGTGCTGTCCTTGAAAAAGGCTGCTTGGTCATTCAGGATGCTGCCGAACAAGACTGTCATCTCCTGGGTCAGACTTGAGCGACCAATGTCCTGAACTGCCTGCATGCAGGGTTGGGCCTGCGACTTCCAGTGCACCTTATCACCTGCCGTTTCATCCCTCGCCTGTCGCTGCAGGGCTTTGCAAGTGTGGGTAAACCCTTCGGGCCTGCGCAGTGGATTTATTTTAGGTGAGGCACAGCGTGCGCAGAACTGGCCTCACCCTTTACACCTGAGGTTTATCTGCCAGGGCCTAGCAAGCTTGGACGGTGACAGCAAAGTCCTCAGGTCGTAGGTTTAATTAGAGTATCCTTCTCTTAGATGGATGGCCTTACAGGGCTACACAAGCTCCATCTGCCCGGGTTTGAAGTTGGAGTTGTCCTTCTCCTAGGATGGTTGCCCGAAGGCTAGTGAGCCCATCCTGCCCATGGACACATTTTGTCTGACCCTTCATTTGAGAGCTGACTGGCATGGGAGACCCTACCAGAAGCATAAGCCACCACCAGCATAACTCCCTACTTCAGAAGGGCACACAAGCTCTTTCCCCACGACAAGGGGGTGTCCGTGAAAGAGGATACTGTGATACTGTGAAAATAAAACCCTGAGATCAAGTTCTTGTAATAGAGGTACCTATCTCCTCATGCAGCCCCCTCAAACTGGGACCGGCAACCAGAAAGCTTTGTTTTCCCTGCAGGCCCCCCTCAGTTGCTGCTGTCATTATCACACGTGAGTGTCAGAGCAGAGCCGACAGCAACGGGCTGCAGCCAGAGATAAAGCACTGAGGCTTGAGATGGGGAGAACATGTGCCTTGAATGCTGACATGGAGCTGGTGTGTGGGGTAATTCATCCTTTGTAACAAAACAAGGAAGAGGGGCTTACCTTATGTTATTCCAGGCAGTGCTTTCCCCCACACCTTGCAGCCTTTTGTGGTTGGGGACCTTCAGCCACGTATTGATCCCATGCAGGGGACCTGGCTTTGCAGCAGCTCTGGGAGATGGCAGCAGCACAAGCAGCAGAGAACCACCCAAGGCCAGGAGGTACCCAACACAGCTCGAATGTACCTGCTCAAGAGCTGGTCCCTGAACAAGGCAGCAGGATGGGGATTTGACCTCCCCATTTCCCTCCTCCAACACATACAACGTAGATGATTATAGAAGTTGAGATCTAGTGGCATTTGATCCACAACCTCAACTCCTGAGTCTTAGGCATTTGGAGGACCCTACTGCTTCATCAACTCCAGTGAATAGTGAATATCCAAGCCTCATCCAACCTTAATTCTGACCTGACAGACGTGAGCTGCAGAAGGCTGCTCTTTGTTAGGAACTTTCTGATTTTCCTGAAGCCCTGTTAAAACTGTGTGGTCCAAGCCTGAACGGACGAGAAAGAGGCAAGCAAGCAGGAAGTTCTACCTGTCAAGTTTGAACTAGGAACAGGCATAGCCATGGCAAGGAAAACCAACCCCCAAAATCCGCAGCATTACCCTTTTTTTTAACCACTTTATTCATGTGTGTCCATTTTAAACTACTGGACAATTCATAAACCATAAAAAAAAACCCTCCTATCCCCAAAATGCACTTGATCCAGTTCGTTAAGTCAAACAACAGTGATGCCGCTGGGGAGGTAGGTAATATCCCGCTGGACATGAGCCAGCAAGGAGCTCACTGCATCAGCTCCTCAGGATCTATATGATGGAGATGAGTTTCATGACCTGGTTCCTCTCCTCCTCCAGGGATGCAACAGGAGAGGAAAGGAGGGTGAATACGGCATTTCCCTTTGTGGAAAGTCAGTCCGATGAAGAGGCTGCGACATCCACTTGCAGGATCAGATGCAGCGACCTTGGCAGGCTTCGGAGCAGCCTCATGGGCTGTGTCCGTGCTAGGACTGAAACCAACCACAAAGCTCCTTCATTGCACATGGTCCAACGCTCCTTATTGACTGGTGGGTGGACACGTGGGCAGTGGGCTTGGGCACAAGTCTGTGGGTGCTGCTTCCTTAGGGAGGGTGAGCCCAGCTGTAAGGCACAATGGGGAGGAGAGATGGGGTGACAGGGGGGCCCAAACTGGTCTCTTCGTCCCCTTGGTTCATCTACAAGCCGTGGACAAGCCAGACCAGGTGGAAACAGACGGCCAGGAGTCCTGTGCCCAGTAAATCCCCCAGGGCTGTGAGGTAGGGGATGGAGAAGTTATCTGGATCCAGTGCCTTCCTCCACATCAGGCGCACGATGACTTCAGCCACGTAGAGCAGGATTCCCACCTGAGAAGAAGCAAGACAGGCAGCAAGGTAACAGCCAGCCTCCCTCAGCTCACAGACAAAATGAGGTGGCCGTGGCCAAGGTACCAGAGCTAATGGGCACTGCTGAGAGTTAACACCTTCCCTGGACAACTGCTGTTTCTCTTTGGGATGGAGCCGCACTGGGATGGGGTAATTGGCTCAAAGCCTTGGGCACTGTGTTGCCTGGCATCACTCATAGTGCCACAGCAGCCACAAGCACGGGGACCACACTTGAACCGCTCACCAGCATCGCATGGCCCAAAACAAGAGTGTGGCCACACCAAAAGCATCTCCTAAAGGTATAGTTCCCACTTCCCACACCATGAATGGGAGTGCTTCCATTCACAACACCAGAAAGAGGGCTGCTGTGAATATGCAGCCCCAAAGGGTGAGTTTTTAGCCAGAGTTTTTCCTTTCATCCTTCTTTTCCATTAGAAATTCAGATTGTGCCTACTTTGCTTTTCCTACAAGTCTCAGTGGACAACTGGAGTTTGAGGCAGATTTTACATCAAAGTTATCCGAAGCAGCATTGACTTAGAAAAAGAAACCCATTACTTATTTTTCATCTCAACAGTTTTTAAATCTCTGTTGTGGTTTCTTTAAATTCCTATTTCATCCCCAATCCTGATAAACTGATGGAGGCAAACAAAATACTTTGGTTAAAGATTAAAGACTGTCTCGTTAATTGAATTAAGAAGGAAGAGAGTTTGTACCCCACATCAGTGGTCCCTCCGTGGGAGACCACAGCACAACAGGAACCAAAGCCAGAGGCAGCTTTTCTAGAGGTGAAAACTGCAAACTGGGAAGGGGGAGAGGGAGGAGGAGAGATGGTGAATAACAGAATCGCAGAAACTAAAGCTGGATGGAAACTCAGGAGTGTTATATTGACCATTCCCCTGCAGGATCCTGGATACAGGATCCAATATGCCCACATCTTTTCTTGTGGTCATTTGTTTAACCTATGCTAAACGACCCCCAGAGATGGAGATGCCACACTCTAAGCAATCAGTCCCAAGGCTTTTTTTCCCATTTTTGGTTTTTTGGTTTTTTTTCCCCAAGGTCTAACATAAATCTGCCTTTTTTTCCCCATTTAAAACCCATGATTTCATGTTTCAGCCCTGGTGACCACAGAGAAAATGTTATTGTGTCTCTCCCTACAGAAACTTGGGAGTTTCAAGGCTGTTAACCAGATTTTTCTCAAGCCTGTTTCCTTTACACTAGCTAACCCCAGCCCATTCAATTGCTCCTCTGAGGTCGTGTTTTCTAGGCCTCTGATCTTTCCCTTTGGGTTTCCTCCAGCTGGCCCAAACTTCCCCCTTCTCTTTCTTTCTGTCTTCCTTCACAAAGTACAATGGAGGGGAAGACAGAACCAGGCTAGCCCTATTCTCCTCCATGGGAACCTTTCGGGGTCAGTGGCGTTGCTGGGATTCTGCTCTTTCCCCTGCCATTTATCCTGCGTATTTCCACACTTGGCTCTGGTTGAGGGGTTACCTCGATGCATAAAGAGAAGGATAAATATTTGCCTTGTCAACTGCAGCTGTCGGGTGTGCAGAGGTCAAGGAAAACGGATTGTTCCCACGCACAAGGAATTCACCCACAGACACGAGGCTGCTTGTAAGGCACAGCGAGGAGGCACCCGCCTCACCCTGCGAGCTAATGAATCCCTGCTGTAAAAGGGAAAGTGAAGGCAGAGCCTCTGTGGGTTCACATGCGTTTCTGAGTGAGGTGACAAAGTTTACAGGGCAGGCCAAAGAGCAAGAGGGAACAGGCAGAACACAGTGGATGAACTGCCCATTGCCTGCTCAGGACTTCTAGCTTCTTAGCTAGAAGATAAGCTTCTGAGGCCTGGGTTTTCCCTTTGCTTTTGACCCATACGGACCTGCCCAGAGGGATCCCCAGGGTCTTCACTGTGATGTGTGAAACCGTTTCCAAAATGAGTGGGAAAGCAGTGAATAAAACATTAAAACAATATAAAATACACACTTTACTGCTATTGGTGAGAGGTTCAAAGCCTCTCACTTGCCCCTTATTGTATGAGCAGGGACAATCTAGAAATACTTGGGACTTAGAGAGTGACCGTGGTAAAACAAAGTACCACCTACAGCAAGAGGAACTTCCTTGCTGAGTAAGCCTCTGCACCCTCACTGCAGCTCAGGGGATGATGATAACTTGTTCCTCATCTCATGTCTGATCCCTTGCTCACACTAAAGGAACAGTTATGCTCATGCAGAAAAGCAGACCCTGGAGTATTACTGGACTCACATAACACACATGATGCTTGGTAGGAAGCACACCTGAAATGGTTGGAAATGTGGGTTTTCTGTTGAAAGTTCGACTGTGAGTCCTGTTTAGCCTGGAGACTGCTTTGTTTCCACCATATCTGAGAGGTTCCTTTTGAGTGAGTGTTTGGGATTTACCTGCAGCAGAGCAGCCAGCAGATAGAACACCACAAAGGTGAAGGACAGAGATATGTGGCCTCCTTGCAGCAGACGGATAATGTAGAGGAACACAAGGTGCCCTGGGATAGCCAGGAAGAACAGGACTCGGGCTGACTTGGAATTCACTTCTGCAGAGGACAGAGACAGAAACAGCGATGATAGCAGCTGCCTGTTTTAATGCATAGACTTGGGGCTGTTTCCTCCCACCAACCTCATTGCTAATGCCTAGCAGCTTTGTCTATCACTGAAGCTATGTGCCACAGACGTGCACCATCCCAATCCACTCACTTCTCAACACCCAGCTGCTCTCTGCCTCCCACTGCTTCCGCTCTGCCTTGCTGTAACCCACTTTCCCCATTTTCAGTGTGTTTGAGCAGTAACTTCCAACGTGGCAGGGGAAATCAAGAGGAGCCTGCAATCTAAGAAAACCAACAGACCCAAATCTACTTGTGCTGACGCTTTGGTTTATCCCCTGGTGAAGATGGATGGAGGCATTGCTTGTTTTCAGCAAGGTTATGCTCTGTTCATCCCCCCATCCAGGTGATGGCTAGCCGTGGTTAAAATGACTTTCTATGAGATCAAATCTGAGATTCTTTTTCAAGTGCTTTCCTTAGTGCTCCCTAAAGGCCAATTTCTCTGCACACCAGTAAGTAAGTGTACTGCAAGCATTTTCCAACTGCAAATACGTTCCCTCTCCAATGTGAGCATCTTCCCTGTAAGGGGGAAAAGGAGTTCTGCCTTTGAAACCCACCTAGTCCTTCATCAACCAGGCTTGATAAAGGAGCTATTTGTGATGACAGGCCTCGAGGCATGGGCACCTAGGGTTCAAGGTCTACCTGATGAGAAGAATACGGTGCATGGGTTGGGCCAATTCTGCTCCATCCTGTATGGCAAAATTCCAGGCTTGCTCCAGAAGTGCAGGAATGTAGAAATACGGCTGGCCTGGATGGCGACCAGGCTCCCTCCAACACCTGTAAGGACAAAATGCAGCAAACCTCTCAAGCACCTTCCAGAAGCTGCAAATATCAGTCTAAAACTTAGCCCAAGGGGAGTGGGTCTGCATTCATGTACAAGTTCACTGCGAGCAGCAGTGGAAATCACAGTGAGTGATTATATGTCTGTCTGAAGGCAGCTAACAGACTTTGTTAAATGAGAGGGAATCATATGAGAATGAATTAGAGACCAAATATGTTAGGTAATTAAAAGGAAATTAATTCCTTCCCGACTGATTAATTCTAGCAAACATGAAAAAGCAGCTATGCTTTCTAGCAGAAAATAGAGGAATAATGATCTATGGAGCAAACCTCCATCACCCTCAGCATCTGCAGGGCAGAAATGACACAGAAAAGATAACAGCCAGACCCAGCTGGCTTCTTCTCCTGCTTTACCTTCCTTGAAGAAGGAAACGTTCCAGCACTAAATGTGAAATTTGGCACCCATGGGCTGGGCTGCATCATCATTGGCAGGTTGAGGGAGGGGATTCTCCCCTTCTGCTGTGCTCTGGGGAGACCCCCCCTGCAGTCCTGATCCAGCTCTGGGGCAACAGCACCAGAGGGATGTGGAGCTGTTAGAGTGAGGCCAGAGGAGGCCATGGAGATGCTACGAGGGCTGGAGCAGCTCTGCTCTGGAGCCAGGCTGAGAGAGCTGGGCTGGGTCAGCCTGGAGAAGAGAAGGCTCCTGAAAGGGAGACCTTAGAGCAGCTCCAAGTGCTTAAAGGGGATACAACAGCAGGAGAATAACACAGTGGATAGCCAGCAGTTTGTAGAGGTATGTGTGTGTATAACAGTGCTGTGAGGCTTCAAATATACAAATATACACACAAAAGATGCTGATATATGTATATATATAATCCACATATAAAAATCTTTATAATATATATACATATATGATCTTGATATGTTAGTCTTTATCAACAATCTGTATAGGGGATGATTGCGAAACTCAAATTACTGAGTGAAGAGAGATGGGGAGAATGGGTTTATTGTGACATCCTCGGTAGGTTTGATGTTACGAAAGCTGTCAGCGTAGCTCTCAGACACAACCATCAGATGCTGTTAACCTTTCCCACAGCTCTGCCAGTATTTTTCAGCCCTGCCTGCTATTTTGCTCCAGAGACACTTGGAGATATCAATAAGTAGGGATGTACTGGCGATGAGCAGCTTCACTTCCACTGTGATGGGAGCAGGGATTTGAACACAGACCTTTGTGCTGGGGCAACAGTGGATAACAGAAACCTTGGGGAGGAGGGGAAGGTATAAATGAAAGCATGCATATAAGCCCCCCTGCCCAACCTACCATTAATCACGGGTGTGAAAACTGCCATGCCTTCAAAGTGTGGGTCAGTTACAGTTTTGTCCAAGATAAGCCCACCGATGCTGTCAAAAAAAGACAGGCAGTGAGGATGGATCAATCCCCCATCCCAGCGCAATTCCTACACTGTGAAAATAGAACACTGAGATGAGTTATTGCTTCTTTCCTGTTGCCAGGGCTGGACTAGTCACCATTTACTCCTTTACAGCTTCCTTTTCACCAATAAATAGCCTTACAGCTTTTCTTAATGGCGCATTGAGATTAGGAAGACCTTGGCTCATAGAATCATAGAATAGTTAGGGTTGGAAGGGGCCTTAAGATCATCCAGTTCCAACTCCCCTGCCATGGGCAGGGACACCTCACACTAAACCATCTCACCCAAGGCTCTGTCCAACCTGGCCTTGAACACTGCCAGGGATGGAGCATTCACAGCTTCCCTGGGCAACCCACTCCAGTGCCTCACCACCCTAACAGGAAAGAACTTCCTCCTTATATCCAATCTAAACTTCCCCTGTTTCAGTTTGAACCCGTTACCCCTTGTCCTGTCACTACAGTCCCTAATGAAGAGTCCATCCCCAGCATCCCTATTGCCCCCCTTCAGATACTGGAAGGCTGCTCTGAGGTCTCCACACACCCTTCTCTTCTCCAGGCTGAACAGCCCCAACTTTCTCAGTCTATCTTCATACAGGAGGTGCTCCAGTCCCCTGATCATCCTCGTGGCCTCCTCTGGACTTGTTCAAACAGTTCCGTGTCCTTTTTATGTTGAGGACACCAGAACTGCACACAATGCTCCAGGTGAGGTCTCACGAGAGCAGAGGGGCAGGATCACCTCCTTCGACCTGCTGGTCACGCTCCTTTTGATGCAGCCCAGGATACGGTTGCTTTCTGGGCTGCAAGCGCACACTACTGGCTCATGTTCATTTTCTCATTGACCAGCACCCCCAAGTCCTTCTCCGCAGGGCTGCTCTGAATGTCTTCTCTGCCCAACCTGTAGCTGTGCCTGGGATTGCTCCGACCCAGGTGTAGGACCTTGCACTTGGCATGGTTAAACTTCATGAGGTTGGCATCAGCCCACCTCACAAGCGTGTCAAGGTCCCTCTGGATGGCATTCCTTCCCTCCAGTGTATCAACCGAACCACACAGCTTGGTGTCATCGGCAAACTTGCTGAGGGCGCACTCAATCCCACTGTCCATGTCAGTGACAAAGATGTTGAACAAGACCGGTCCCAACACCGATCCCTGAGGGACACCACTCGTTACTGGTCTCCAGCTGGACATTGAGCCATTGACCACAACTCTTTGTGTGTGGCCATCCAGCCAGTTCTTTATCCACCGAGTGGTCCATCCATCAGATTGATGTCTCTCCAATTTAGAGACGAGGATGTCGTGTGGGACAGTGTTGAACGCTCTGCACAGGTCCAGGTAGATGACATCAACTGCTCTACTGCTGTCCATCAGTTCTGTAGCCCCATCATAGAAGGCCACCAGATTGGTCAGGCAGGATTTCCCCTTAGTGAAGCCATGCTGGCTGTCACCAAGCACCTTGTTGTTTTTCATGTGCCTTAGCATGCCTTCCAGGAGAATGTGCTCCAAGATTTTGCCAGGCACAGAGGTGAGACTGACTGGTCTGTAATTCCCTGACTGCCATGATTTTTCAACTATGATGGCCAGTGGCTTAGCAACTTCATTCGCCAGCTCCTTCAGGACCTGCGGGTGGATTTCATCAGGTCCCATGGACTTGTGCATGTTCAGGTTTTCAAGATGGTCTCGAACCAATTCCTCTCCTACAGTGGGCCCAAGATCTCCATTCTCACAGTCCCTGCATCTGCCTTCCAAGACTTGGGTGGTGCGGTCGCCTGTGTAGCTAGTTCACCTGAGAGCTTCCTGAGGGGGCCTACGTTCTCCCTAGTCTTTTATTTGCTATGTACCTATAGAATCCCTTCCTGTTATCCTTAACATCCCTAGCCAAGTTTAATTCTAACTGGGCCTTAGCTTTCCTACCTGGACCCTAGCTTCCCGGGCAACATCCCTATATTCTTCCCAGGCCGCCTGTCCTTGCTTCCACCTTCTATAAGCCTCTTTTTTCATTTGAATTTTCCTCATCATTTGAATTTTCCTCCCTTGAGCAAAACTGACAGTAGCCAGGGAAGCTTTAGCATCCTTCCACCAGTTTTGCTACACATCTATCCTGCTCTTACCAGTTTCTTAACGTTCTCTCCCAGACCTCAGCTGGGTCTGAAAGATGTAGCACAGGGGAATGAACTACCTGGCTCCACATTCACCAGCCTTCTGTCATTACAGCTGGATAAAAATGAGGTGGAAGTCCATTTGTGACAGCCATCATCTCCCTTTTTTGAATTCCTGGCTTGCACCCACATGGTGCATGGATGTGTGAGTGAGACTTAGAATGATGACTTGCTTTTTCCAGTCATTTGGGGGCCCCGTATCTACCTCGCAGCCTGTGGGAGGCTGTCCATGGCTGAGGACCACTTCACAAATACCCTTGTGCTACCCCTTCCAGTTTCACTTTGATGGCTTTCTAAAGGAGCACAGGGTCTCTGCTGTGTGCATAGAGTTTAGGAGCAGCTCCTCGGGTTACCTGCTGATGATCATAGCAACAATGACCGGCAGCCATCCAGATTTCAGGACTTCAGTAACGGAAGGACTTCGCTTGGCGACAGAAACCCAGAGAGGGATCATGATGATGAAGAAAGCACAGATCAGAGGAGGAAGAAATTTTATATCTGGTAAGAAAGACAACTTGGATTAGATACCCATTAAAAGATTCACAGGTTGCCCAAATCCTACTGCACGAAGTCTGGAAGGAAGTCAGACTGTGTTACGTTAGCGTAAAAATCACATGAACCCAGATATTCCCCCCAAACCACCTCCCTCCACCACAGAGATCCATAATGAAGCCCTGAACCTCACTGCTAAAGGATGCTGTTTGAAAATCAGCAGGATTCAAAGCGAGTTATATTTGAAGATGACAAGTCTCCAATTCTATTTCCAGCCAAGAAGACAAGAAGTTACAAAATGCCTGGCTTCAAGGTACAAATCAAACAGCAGGGCAAGGGGGAAACTCTGGTGTGGAAGCTGTATCACAGCATGGACACCTCACACCTTCACCTAAAACAAGGGGTAACAGGTGCTTTTGGTGGCAAGCTAGCAGAATTGCTGAGCAGCTGGTCTGCTCTATAGGAACTAATGCTCTCTTGCACCTAGAAGCCAGTTAAGATCCAGGCTTTCTTCTCTCCTAGCTTGTGTTTTCATGAGGTGCCTTTCCTTCAGTGGGGGCACAACCTTGACATGACCCTTAGAAACAAAGGAATTCATAAGTAGATGTGCAGCGCTAAAGGAGAACAAACATGACCCAGAAGCACGAGAAACACCTGCAAGCAATGGGGATGATGCCAACCCTTTTGATATAAAAATCCATCTTCAACAAGCTCTCCATCTGGTCTCTGTGTTGGGGCCAGAGGCAGCGGGGTGTAACACAGACTTTGCAGGTAACCTGGAAGGTGCAGCAGGGTCCAGAGTGTGCATTCATCCGTGACACTGCCAGGGCCTTGGGCTGGGATAGCACTGATATGATGACACCTTCCATCAATCAAAGGCTCTTACACAGAGGTGCGCTCTTGACTTGTTGCTTAAGGGGCACTGAAATGCGGCCACTTCTGGGGTGTAAAAGCTGCTGTTGTTGTCAGTGCAACTTTACCACCTGGACTAAACTAGGACAGATGGTTGTATGAGAGACTTAGCTGCTGCACTGGATCTCCTACCCCACACCTTGTTTCGGGCTATTAATTCCTTCCTAAATAACGCAGACACGGAGCACTAGAGGATCAAACCTTATCAAAGCCCACAGGAAGACTCCTGGGAGGATGAATGGACGTCAGCCTCCACATTCCAGTTCTGCCACATTCTCTCATGCACAGCCCATGAGCAAACCGAAACCCTTTGGCACAGTTTGCATTTCCATTAAGCAGGACTGGGAAGGACCAGGGCTGGCCTTTGAAAACCTGAAAATCCTCATTGGGAAAAAGGGTATTCCATAGGATGCTGCGTCTGGACACACAGCATTCCAAACTTTACAGACTCACTGGGATTTCTGAAGGATGTATTTTCATAGGACCCTGATTTGTCACAGCATGACCTGCCCCTTACTGCACACTGGGGAGGGAACTGGATTTATGCAAGCACCACCAACAGTGCCTTCCTCCTACCTGCTTCACTTCATGCTCCCAGTGACGTGGTGTCTATGTGCTGTGTATTTTCCAGCCCATGAGGCTATTTAAACTACTATGAAAACATCACGAATGTTCTCTGATCACAACCATAGATGTTATCACCTTGTTCTGCCATATGCTCCCTGGGAGATGCTATCAGAGGCACAGTGATTGAAAGCCAAACCAGCCTACCGAGACAGGGGTGATGGCATCATGGAAAAAGCCTGTTCCAATGCACCTCTGAAGCTCCAGGAGGATGGAAGAGACTTGTGGGCCTCTCCCTGCTCCCTCAGTTGCTGGCATATGGAAGGAGCTACACAGAGACCAGCTGCCTGGCTACTTCTGCTCATAGGCTCAAGCAACAGTTTGGGTTTCAAATGGGATTGACTTTGCTGCATCTTCTTAGTTTCCTGTTTCTGTTGCAGGTTAGGCTCACAGTGAATAACTCAGCGCTGTACAAGCAGCAGTCAGGCACACACCACCAACCTGCAAGACGCTTTGAGCTTTTCAGTGTCAATGGGTACCTAAGTCTTTGCCAACCAGCAGCAGAGCTAACCACACAGCCACAACTCGGCATCCTGTGAGCATAAACCAGTGCAGCACTGCCTCCTCCCTCCAGTTTGATCACATCATGTCATCCACGACTCTCCGCGTGGGAAGACGCAAGAAGACAAATGCCAACCCCCTGACACTGCTTTGTGAGGAAGGTCCTGCTGTTACCCATGCACAGCCTGGCTAGCAAGAGATGCAGGAGCAGAAGTCAACCTTCTCTTCCAAAGCTATGCAATCTACATTGGCCATTTCTTTGACACATCCCAGTTGTGGTTCTTAGGCTCTGCCTTCCCACTTGCTCCTAAAAGAGAGCCTGGAAAAGCATCTTTGAACATTTTTCTATCCCAGTGGCAGCCTCCATCCTGAAACATCCCAGAAATCCCCTGCAGTAATTTCACACGGATTCACCCTTCCTTTAAGCTGCAAACCGCTGCTAAACACTGTACCTATGAATTTGAAGAGCCCACTGCTGAATGCCGCCAGCAGGGAAAGGGTTATAAAGTCTCCAAGGCTTGCTGCAATGGGTGTGGCGACATTGTCTGGATTGATCCCAGCTTTCCTGGCTCCAATGACCACACCAATCATCAACAGACCTAGGGAAGACACAGAGCAGGCATCAGAGAACACATCCCACTGCGTTCCAGCCCAGGGCTGCTCTTCTGCTTCCCAGAAGGATGCAGGGTGTGGGGAAAGCAAGCAGCACATTGCCCATAGCGGTACCACACAGCAGGAGATTGGACATCCCCAAGAACTCATTCTCCTGCTTTTGCCAACCTGCAGAGCATGGATCTGCCTCAGCGGCCCAGGGGCACACAGGCAAATTCCAGGGATCAAGGGAGATGCCAGCAGGCAGCTCAAATGGAGACGCTCCCCTCCTGAGCAGCTTAATCTTTGCTGCCTTGAAGCAGGAGCAGGCACGAAGCACACTCATAGATAAGCACACAACAAGCACGCAGAACCCTCCGGTGCCATCCCCTGCTCTGGATTCCACAGCACAAGGATGTTCTCCATATTAGACCAAAGTTTCTCTCAGTTAGAACCACCAAGGAGCAATGACCTCCCTTAGAGTTGCCTGACTCAGCCTTACTCAGCCCAGCCATCAGACCCAGACTCACATCTTTGGGGCTGCTTTAATTTGCGCTGGGTGGATGTTGATGCTACAAGCAGCTCCAGAGTCAAGGGCTTATGGAGGTGTCCCACATCACTTCTTTTTCCCTGTCCTCTGAGCTGCACCTGGAAAACTCCACTGCTCTGTTGGAGTGGAGGGAAGCTTTGCTTGCCCAGGTATGTTAAGGAGCACAAACCCCAAACCCTGATGAACCCATGGGAGTTCCTCAGCCAGCCACCTGGGATAAACCCTTCCTGGCCATTCCCCACTGCTGTGTGACTGGCAAGGGCAGCCTGGAAATGAGACACATGACAACTCCTCAGTGTCCTCTTTGTGCCTGACAGGATGCACCAAAGGCAGCCTGAGAAACACAGTCATGGAATCATAGATGGTGGTTCCTCCAGCTCACACCCTCTCTGGGCCTTCTTCTCATGGGCCCACCAAAACTGAGCATGCACAGGAGCATCAGCTCTCCCATAAGGAATGCCACTTATGCACCTTTCCTGCTACAACATTCCCACAAAGAAGCACGTCCTCACACAACATGGTATTATCCACAGAAGCATTCCCATAACACAGCTCATGCTGCTTCCCTCCTTGGCCATAAAAACAACAGCTTCCCATCACGCACACACACATCCAGGGAAGCAGCTAACGCTGGCTGAAAGGCTGGGCTGGTGAGGCAGCAAAGGCTCTGTGCATTCTACAGAGCAAGGAGACCAAAGGGAAGGGTTTAATGAAAGCTGAGCTGCTTTCTCTTTTAACAACAGCCTCATCCCATGTTTTTCATCAAAGGCATCTACAATCGCCCTTTGACTCCAGCTTCAGGGTATGCACTTGTTCTAACTTGTCCCCATCATGTAGACTTGCTGTATCCGTCTCTCCCAGCTCCCTCTATTCAAGGTATCATGCTGCCCTCGTATGGCAGACCTACAAACTGATCTTCCTCAGGAGACAGAGCAGCTCCCAGCCATCCAACCCATCCGCTTCCAAGGGGAATAGCCAGAGGAATCGATGGCCCAGAGCTCATATCAGATAAGCCACAGGGCTGGTCACAGTCCTCTGCATGGCACTGGGTGACCCAAGGCTATCTCAAGATGGGTGACCCATCTCCATCTTTCTGGAGCTGTCTAAAAGACTCTCAATACTCTGCTTTCTGCATGTCATTAGCTTACTCTCCCCAGAAAGGGACAGATGGCTAACGTGTCACCGAAGACATACACAGGAAGTGTGTGCATGCGTAAGTGCACCCACACATTGCATGTGGCATTTCTGTGTCTGTCAGGTGAAGTGGGACATTCTGATGCCGAGAGACCAATAAGAAGACAAACAAAGGCAGGATGCTGAGGGGGTGAAAGCAGCGGACCTAGGACCAGTGATCCCTGCATCCCTCCTCCCTGTGCTGGAACAAAGGGATGTCAGCCGGGCATCCCTGGCAGAGGGGACAGCAATACCCAAGTGCTGCATATTTGATCTGAGGAACCAGAAGGACTCACCAAGACAAAATGCAGCTACGAAGGCCGTGATGACACTGCTGGCACACAGCACAGCAGCGTGGCTCACATCCATAGAGCCCTTGGAGATGGCTCCCAGGATCACAGCAGCAACAGCAGCCAGAAGGCCTACCACAGTGGCCTGGAGCTGGAGACCAAAAAACAGCTGGTAAGGAACCATCTGCATCTTACAAGGGCCTGCGGGGACAGGACAAAGGGAATGGCTTGAACCTGCCAGAGGGGAGACTGAGCTGAGCTCTTAGGCAGAAGCTCTTCCCTGTGAGGGTGCTGAGGCGCTGGCACAGGGTGCCCAGAGAAGCTGTGGCTGCCCCATCCCTGGCAGTGCTCAAGGCCAGGTTGGACACAGGGGCTTGGAGCAAGCTGCTCCAGTGGAAGGGGTCCCTGCCTGTGGCAGGGGTTGGAGCTGGAGGAGCTTTAAGGTCCCTTCCAACACAAACCAGTCTGGGATTCTATGATCTGCTCCCAGGCAGTGCTGGCTCATCGTTGCCACAGAGCAAGGCAGACAAAGCCTTGCAGAGATGCTGATTGCTTCTGTATGTAGCAGCATCTCTGTAAATGATGTAAATTAAAACTAAAATCCTGACAAAAGTTTGGAGGAAAGCTCTGGATGCCTGTGAAGAGCAGATAACACTTCAGCAAAGGACACTGAGGCCAGCAGCAAAGGAATAGCCCTGGTCAACGCTCCCCATCAACAGAGCGCTCCAAGCAAGCTGAAAGCTGTGGAAGGAGATAAGGGAAAGCACACAGACACGTGTTGCAAGCCCTGTAACCTCTAGGCTGGTTGCTGGGGTTTAACACACAGAAAGAGCTGCAAGGGGCACATTTCTCCCATCTCTTCCCATCCACCCTCCTGCCCAGGGCTGATTCCCAAACACTGCCAGTAAATGACAGGCTTTATCTAGGGGCTGTTGTGAAACAGGGATTGTACCACAGCTGCCCCTGCAAAAGGAGGGGTTTTCACCATTTCACTTTGCCCACAAAGTGAATTTCTGTGGATTTCTGGATGTGTTTTGAAGCTAAACTGCAAGCTTTGAGGTCAGGTCCTAGGCTCTGCTTGGCTGTGTTGAGGATACCTGCCCCAAACGGCTCTGAATCCAGCTGAGATGCTGTTGGGCTGCAGTGTAGCAATAGGAAAGAGCCTGAAATGACTCACCTGGATAAGGGCTAGATTGCAGGTGGCCATTTTCCATTTGCTATCAGCATCATCCATCTGTCCGGTGTTAGCCTAGGAGCCAAGAGAGACACTGAAAACCTGTTCCTGTGGCGCAGGTCTCTGCTGAAGGCAGTTTCCCCCTATCCCTGTGAGAAAGGGGGTGCTAAAGCCAGATAGATGAGTGCAGGCCAGCATTTCCCAGCACATCCTTCTTGACACATCCCCATCATGCTCCAGCCCAGTGTCCCGGGGGCATCAGGGACTCGCGTGGAGGTGCAGAGGCATTGCAGGGCACCCAGCTACAAGAGGAGTGGGCACATCCACCACATCCCACGCAGGCCAAAAACTGAACAAATTAAACCATTTTCCCTCTTCCGTTCCCCCTGAATTGCTCTGTTAAGCTCCCATTTCTCCCAAGACATGCAATACAAACACCCCAAAGTCAACAAAACCGCTATGGAAGAGAGATCAAATCCAGGGTAGCAAAAGCTACCGCAGGTCCCAAGAAGCCTTGTTCTGATCCCCCCATGGCAGGAATGCTGGGAAGCCCTGGGTCTCTCAAGGATCAGTACCCACAGAGAAGCAATCCAGTACTGAAAGCTGACAGTAATGGAGCCCTGGCTTTGTCTCCTTCGTGTGTCACAGGGCCCCAGGGATGAATTCACCTTCAGAGCACAGATGGGAATTCTCTGTTCCACTTCCAAAATGAGGGCACACACATTATTTTAACCCTCACACCCCACAGGTTTCTGCCTAGCAGAAAAGGGCACATCTCATCCACACAGTGTGCTTACATAGAAGCAGCATCCCCCTATGTCCCCTGCTAATCCCCCCCACCACACACACCACCATCACCCTGTTAACACTCACAGCAGTAGAGAGCCTGGATGCCAGCGTCATCTCAAGGTTACCCTTCAGGCCAAGCAAGGCAGGAACCAGGATAAAAAGTTCCGTTATTGTCTGAAATGCAGCCCAATGCTGGAAGAAAAGAAGGGATCGACCTCAGTTTGTGATGCCGACCAGTCCGGTGCTGCTGCTTCGAAGGGGAGCGGGTTCCTATCTCACCACATGGGGCAGATGCTGCATTTGGGGAGTGAAGGAAGGACTTAGCTTGCAATAGTCCTTCTGATCTCTTGCACAGCAAGCCCCATCCTAACGGCAGGAACCAGCTTCCTGAAGGCAGCAGCAGATTTTGGAAAGCCCCACATTAAAATGTACCTTTAGCATCAGCCAAGAACACCATGAAAAGTCATTAGGGCCCATAAGCCACACGAAATACAGCATGTTCTCCATCCTTTGGACTGACAGTAGATACAGGAACACCTATTGCTATCCAGATCCATAAACACAAAGATCTGGAAACCATCTAACAACAAGTTGTGCCTGTCTTTTCTTACCAAACTTCTAACTAAGCAGCTATGATGGGTAGTGGGAGGGAAGGGGATTTTTGCAAAATGTCAGCTCCAATCCTTGTGTTCAGAAGGAATTCTGCAGGTCTCAAAGCCATCATAACAGAAGTTTCAGTTTATGAGGTGGGTTTTTGGGGGACTCTGGTTTTACATGTAATTACACTGAAAAGCTTTCAATGACTAATACAGAATCACACCACTGTACTAATAAAACCAGCTGAGTTAAGTGCCTTCATTTGAGTCTCATCAGTGACTCATCAAGAGCCTAAGGACAGATTCATAATGATTTATACCCCAGTAGCCAGGACTCCACTGTGTTAGACAGTGCAGAAGTACAGGACAAGCAGATGATCCCTGTGCCAACCCTTTGCAGCACTGTCAGCTGGAGGAGCAGGTGAATGAGGCAGGTCAGAGCTGTGCATCTGCCTCAGTGATGACAGTCGGGTTAAGCCTAGGCTGCATCTTTGTCCTTTGAGGTGAAAACTGGCCTAGGAGGCATGGAAACAATCCCTGCAGCAATGCAAACCCACACAGGGACAGTGAAAACCTTTCCCACTTCATGTCCCCATAACGGGCTAAAGCTCTGAAGCTCAGCTCTGACGAAACCTGGTTACCCCATAACCCACTCTAGTTGGTACCCATGCAAGATGGATCTGCTCATGGGGTCCCAACAGAGGAGGAGAGGCTGTGATGCACTGGGACAGGCTCTCCAGCTGCAGCCTAGCCCTGCTGTCCCTCACTGCCCTCACAGTCCCAACCATGTCCTGTTACCCCTCCAGTGCATCCATCCCTCCATGGCAGCAGCTAAGAAAGCTCACAGGTTTTCCATTGCCCTGAACAACATAAAAGTCACAAGATCCTGGACTAGAAAACAAGCAATTCAAAATGCTTTTCAATGCTAATCATCCCATGGGCTTTTGTCAAAGGGCAGGGATATCTTCTATCTGTGACTTTTATTTGGACCATGTCCCAAATGTGGCCTATGTGGAAGAGGAGAATGAGAGGGAAACTTTCCTCCTGAATCCTCTGGGTTGAAATCTGATCGTCCAGCTTCAATCTGATTCTTCACCTTACTGTAAAAGACTGGGCCAAACACTGGCAGAGCCCTGCGAGGTCTCCAGCAATGCCAGCCAGCCTGGAATCCGGATGGACCAGCTGGCCAAGGATCACTGGAGCAGAAGCGGAAACATCCCAGACCCATGCCATGCTACCAGCCCTGCAGAGAGACTGCATCATCTGCACAACCAGAGAGACAATGGCAAATGACTATTTCTTTGGGCATCCTTTCATTACAGTAGGAGACATGCAGGTTTGAACCTTGGAGTCAGCTGGGCCACATAAATCTCTCTTGTGATTTTGGTTGGGGTGTTTTTACACACTAAGAGGAATGATTCTTGGTTTCATTCCAGGACTGATTAGAAACTGCTAAAACCCTGATAGTTTGATAGGATGCAGACAATTTCCACTTTGCTCTTCACTTTACAACATCAGCCTTGTACTTCCAGCACAGAACTGTGTTATTTCAAGATATTTGGTATGTAACAAAACAAGGGCAGCACCATTAAACTCACACATAAGCTCTAGATACCATCCTGAGCTTGCCCATGCATCTCCCTGCCAAAGGCAGACATGGAGCCTCCTAAGAATGTTTTGCAGTGATTGCAAATAAGGAAAGCATTCCTCAGCCAGACCATCCCCTGGAAAACGGGCAAATCACAGACTTTGGGACTAGAAAACCCTGTAGTTTCAGCACATGAACCCTCATGATTATCAATACGAGCCTTATGGTAGCTGGCCTCAAGCAAACAAACTTAAGTCTCAGGTTTTAGTTGGGCAGAACGGTGAGTTTGTGGCTCTCACAGGAAGAAAAGCTGAAAGCAGGCAGCTCAAAGGCAAAAAGGCACAGAAAAATAACCCAAGCTTTTAAAGGCCCTTTAAATACCCCTGGGTATTCCCAGCTATGGGACTGGTTTTAAGTATGGGGTTGTTGACACCATGGCAGCTTCGCTCGCTAACATCTCTCCTATGCCAGTTGTGACTCTCAATGCACTAACTCCCTCCTCTGGGAGCTGAACTCACTGACTGATGGTTTCTATTTCAGTATAGCTGGAAACACGGTCACCAAGATACACACTTCCTATGATTGTGCTTCGTGCATGACCCCATTTTTAAGAGTCTAGTGAAGGAGTACACAAAGTAGGCTGCTCTCTGGTATTTAAAGGACACACGCAATGTAGGTACACACAGCTCGTGTTTTCCGTCCATTCAGATACAGTCACAGAGCCCAATTCTTGGCAAGAGCATCCGATTTCTTTTAGACAAAGCCCTATTCACCTGCCAAGGTTTGGCTATGTCCTATGTCTGAGATAACTGCTCGCTGTTAGCACAACATCTTGGGTAGTCTGAGAACCTCTGTAATGCTGCAAGACAGGTCTTTGCCTAAACACAGCACAAGGTGGAGACGACAAACACAGCGTGTGCCACTCCGGTTAACCCTTATTTATAGTCCTCATATTCCCTTTAATTTATCTTCTCTACTTCCTTTGTTTCTTCCAACGCAAGAAAAACCCAGCAAGGTATTGTCTTTCCAAACACTCAAGTATCCATATTTAGCTCCTGCTATGGTACTAATGCCAGAGAAGCCAACGTACTCCAGTGAGATCAGAGCGCACAATATATCCTTGGGAAGCTCTGCCAGCCTTTTGATTTGTAAATCCACTGGCATGAGATGCCCAAACTAGCTCAAATTTTGCATTTCTATTTGTGCCACTTGATGGGGCAGATTCTGGTTGTGGGCACAATGGTGTAAATCCAGCAGCACTGCTTGGAAGTCAATGGAAGCGTACAAGTACACTTCCATATTCCATATTTACACCCGCCTCAGAATCCGGCCAGGAATCACTCAGCTGGGAGGCAATGGTAATGTTTTTCTCCTGGCATGCCTCTTAGCACAGCATCTAAATGCCTTCTAGACCAAAGATTACATTAGGTTGCTTGCAAAGAACCGAAAGCATAAACTTGCCTCTCAGTAAGACAGGTAGTTAATAACAGCCTTGACCCAGATCTCCTTATCAGCATTTTCTGAAGGAAATAAGTAATACCATGCAACAGGGGAATATGCTGCAGTCTGGTCCCAGTTGCTTCATAGCAGTCACCACCCAAGCGTTCAGCCAGATACAGTAAGGGGAGCACCCAGTCCAACGCTACAAGGGTCTGAAAGCCACTATCCCACTCTAAAAGGAGCCCAGGTACTGATCTAAAGGAGATGGACAGTGTCTCTCTAGCACAGGGAAAGTCCAGAGCCCTCCTGCTGACTGGTTATAGCACTACACATACTCAAAAACAAACCCATACAGATACTCAAGGTCAGTGAATTAACCCACCCTCTCACTAAAAAGCAGTTTAACCACATGTACCTACTTGAAAAATATCCATCAGGATGCCAGTAGCTACCATGCCCAAGCCAGCCAGAAGGAATGGCATGAAAATCTGGGAGGCAATGGAGAACGAAGTCTCTGGGAGAAATCCACTGGCTGACCTGATCCACTTGAGGGTGAAACCTCTCAGCTTCTGACCGTGGAAGCACAGTTCCAATTCTAACTGGGTGATCATCATGGTCAAATACTATCACCCTATGCTCAGGAGGTCAAAGGGGGGTGAGATCAGGACATCCCAAAGATCCTCCTGGTAGGTCTCTTTGATTCCGAATACAGCAACGATGCCAAATTGCTTTAGCTTCTTCTCCTCTGAGGAGCACGTTGGACGTGCTGCACGTTGGAGCTGCAGGAAGGGTATCCTCCAAAACGGATTCAGCTGAGTTGAGCCCAGGTGGCAGCAAACGGGACGGACCCAATTTCTCTGATTTATATCCAGAGTGAATTAAAAAGGAGAAAAGAAGATTGCGGAGACGTCTGTGAACGAATAGAAACAAGCCCACACCCCATCCAGCTCCCACCACCTCGGTAAAAACCAGTAAGACCTGCTCAGGCTACAGCACTGAAAGAGTGACAGACAGGTCATGCCAGAATCCCTCAGCGTGCTCAAACGCACTAGTGTCCTTTCTGCTCAGGTTACACTTCTTGTCAGCCCGCCGCTCGCCTTTGATACGATGGTTTAATGTGTAAGCCTGCTGCGAAACAGCCCCGGCTCCCTCGCTCCCACCATAAGCAACATTGAACTTTTCTCACTGTCCCAGGGCCGAGGAGGTGAGGAGTTAACAACCAGGATCCGTTTTGCTCTCCTTCAAGGTGAAGAAAGGTCAAAGACAACACGAGTTCACGTTCCTCACAGCTGACAACCTTACGCAGGTCTGGAGCCCTGGCCAGTGACACAGCTAAGCCGGGTGGCCAGATATGATCTGCTCTTCTGGAACCTGGTCCTTCTTGTCCCTTCCATGGTTTCCATGGGTACGGAATGGTTGTCTATCACATCCTTACCTCTGAATGACTGGCTTTCAGGGGTGGGGGGAAGAATAAGCCAGAGAACCAACCAATAAGGTTGAAAAGCGAACACCCTTATCTGCTGTCATCACTTCAACTTTCTGCTAGTTTGCAACGGCCAAGATAAGGTTCATGGCTGGAGCTTATTTAAGGTAGCTCTGTAATCTCACTGCACAGCAGGCAAGGGAGAGAAAGGGTGAATGTTTCCATGGTATGCTGTGAACTGGGCTCCCTTTCTGTCCTAAAGGGAAACACGCTGCTGCTGCACGATACTGCCTTTAAGAGAGGGGGTCTCACCCCAGTGTCTCCATGGTGAAACAGCCAACACAAGGTCAAGCACCATAGCTGCACCATGGCTGCGTACAGCTGAAGAGTTAAGCGTCCTGGTCAGTGAAGACGTAAGCTCAAAGTCACACACACAAGGAAGAGAGTTGGGGTATTTTGTGGGGGCTCCTTTCTAATAATGAATTTGGGCAAACTAATTGGATCGAAGGTGATTTAAAAGCACCATTTAGGATGGAAGGGTATAGGGTTGCTTTAGTACATTGTCAACTGAGCTTTTTCCCTATCCAACCACAGGTTCAAACCCAGCCATGCCCCAGTGAAATGGTAAAAGCAAGTATTCAGTGGTGGGCACAACAGATACAGGTTTCTCAGTCCAGTTCTGTCCTGGGTTTAGCAGTAGCAGTCATTTTTTCTCCTTCTTGGTAGCTGGTGCAGTGCTGTGTTTTGACTTTCGGGCTGGGAACAAAGCTGATAAAAATGATGTTTTGGTTTGGCCAAGGACTTTGTGAGCCTCATGCTCTGCCAGGGAGGAGGGGAAGCCGGGAGGAAGCAGAGACAGGACACCTGACCCAAACTGACCAAAGAGGTATTCCATACCACAGCACGTCATGCCCAGGAGGTAACTGGGAGTTACCCGGAAGGGCTAGGGGGACTGGAGGGTTGGAGGAGGTATCGGTCGGTGCTTGATCGGGCTGGGGGGGCAAGTTATCGGTCGCCTGGTGATGAGGTGTTGTATTCTCTTCCCTTGTTATTTCCTTTATCATTACTATTATTGGTGGTAGCAGCAGTGATTTGTTATACCTTAGTTACTAAACTGTTCTTATCTCAACCCATGGGAGTTGCATTCTTTCTGATTCCCCTCTCCGTCCCTCCAGGAGTAGGGGGAGGGCAAGAAAGGGGGGGAGTGAGTGAGTGAAAGCTGTCTGGTTGGGGTTAAACCACGACAAGTTCAAATCCAATGTTTAAACTGCATTGTCCTATCTACACTTCTTGCACTAATAAACCCCTTCCCTGACACCCTCTGCAGAGAGACCTAAAGATTAATGGCCTGTGGACTCTGTCCTTGTGACAGGGTCCCCAGCTTGGAGCTAAATGCATTGGCAGGGTTAGACAGAATAAAACATGTGTTTGCCTTGCAGGTAAATAGGGCGATGGGAGACTCTATCCGTCCTTTGCTGCTTCCTAGGCTGGTGTGTTGGTGCAGCCTTCTCCACTCCCAGCTGTGCTGGTGTGGGTGTGTGTCTCCTCCAAGCTGAAAGCTAACAAAGGAACGTATTTTGGCTAATCTAACTGGGAAAAAAAGCCCACAGTAGCTGGAAGAGGGAGGCTGATGAAAACCCTGTAATAACCACACATGACCCAACCTCTTTACACCAGCCAGGAGCTGAGAAGTGACAGCATGAAGGCCTAATTCTGGTTAAAACCTCACAGAGGCCTCAAGGAGATAAAGGACACTTTCTGTGCATCCCTAGTCCTGTATGCCACTCTATCTGCCAACTGGATCCCTGACAGGCAGCAACATTAACGTAAAGGAAATAGTAATGAGCCTGAATGACTCAAATGTCATTGAAACATGCCAGCAGCAGCGCATCCTGTACTAGGCAGGGTTTATGAGTTTATCACGCTTCGGCTCTCTCTGTTTCCAAGCAAGCACCGTAAAAACCCTTCAACCAATGAATCAGTATGCAGGGAAGGTAATGGGTAGAGGTGACCTGTGTGTGTACACTGGGTCATTTTATTGCGTGTTTAAAGAGTGCCTGATAAAGATCCGCACTGTATTTGTCAGCATAGAGATGCATCATATTTTCCTGGCACAGAGAGAGACCATATTTGTCCGCAAAGAGATGCATCAGGTTTGAGGAGAACACAGCTGAACAGCGGGATAAAGATCAGAACTAGTTGGGAAAAGAAGAAACAAACCACTTCACGGCTGCACAGTGTGGTACACCGTGGCAAAACCTGGGGAGGAACGCTGCGTCCCCATGCTTGTAAACTAGCAATTGCCCTGGATAAAGCAGAAATAGGCTCTCTGGTGGGCCCTGACCCTGATCTAGGGCCTCCATCCAATTCCACACTACAGAAAAAGAATAGGAAGATGACAAAATGCCAAAGAGCACAGTTCCAGATGGACCTTATCATCCCTGCTGAGAAGGGACAGGGATACCAGGGAATGTTCGTAACAGCATGGCACTGTTAGCAACAGAGAGGGCTCTCCTGATACCCAAGACCCATAGGTGGACGATGCTGTTCAGGGACCGTATGCCCCAGTTGTTGGAGAACTTTCACTCCTCACTCCGGTGGCTCCATTACAGCTCAGTTTGTGTGGGTTTGTTTCTTACCTTGCTCTTCTCTTCCCCACTTTAGGCAAGGGCTGAGAAGAGAGCTCATATGGAGAGACTGAGAGCAAGATGGAGAGTGCCTGGGACCCAAAGCCTTGCAGCATCTCCTGTCGTCCCACAGAAACAGCAGCAGAGGCCAGGACTGGCTTAGAAAGGAAGGGCAGCTCCTAACAGCACTGAGTCCACAAGCAGTCCATAATCACAACTGAAAAGTCACTGTGCTAACTGTCAAAGGGCTGCTTTTCCTATGAGATGCTGCATGGGTTGGTTTCCCAGGCTCTAAGCATTAACATGAAAGCTGTTCGTGAGCTCTTTGCGTAAAACAGAAACCAGAATTTCGCGGTTTCAGAGGAGTATGATGCTTACTTCACATTCTGTTCGTATTAGTGGTCCAGTCCTTTGTAGAAATCAAAAAGAAACCCAAACCACACTCCTCCAACATCATAAACCCATCTGCAACCTATTTCATGCTTTAATATCTCACAATAGGTGGTAACACGCATTTAATGTCCGAGATCCTTAGGAATGGGCAGGTCTGAACAGGCTGAAAAATGAAGGTGGCTGCTCAAGGCTCAGGACTCTCAAAATGGCATCTTTAGGAGACAAAAAGCAGTTTGTCCCTGGGTTCTGGACTTTTCTGATGGAGTAGGCATGCTGTTGGGTACTGTGTACAAGATAAGGTCAGTTAAGGATACTGTGTCACCCATAAGCCTTTATAGCTCTTCTAGCTTAGGGAGATCAGCCCAGGGCTAATAGCAGAAGAACACAGTTCCAGATTGGTGCAAGCAATCAGTGCAAGCACAGTAGTCTCAGTGCCACTGTATCAGACAGGTCAGGGCAGTCTGACCCAACAGCTAGCCAGGCAAATAACAAGGGTTATCAAAAACGCACACAGCAGTGAGATAGCAATTTATAACCTGGAAATTAACTGCAGCTTTAAACTAAGATTGGGTGCCTACCACTACCTTAGAGCTCTGTACTGCTGCACCACAGGAGGAAAGGTCTGCTCCTGATTGTAATGGGATTAGAAATCGCACTGGAAGAAGACCCAAGGATTTGAGTCATCTGCTATAAAGCCTTGGAAAAGGATGTGGTGCACAAGCAGGGCCGGGCTGGCTGTGTGAAGCATGAACAGTGCTGGCCTGGCTGGCTCCTTGAGCAATGAAGCAGGGGATGCAGGACCAGCCAGAGCTACACCCAGCACTGATACAGCGTGAAAGTGCTGCACCACCACAGCCCTTGGGGCTGCAGCCCAGACACCCTCTACCCAGGACCAAGGTGAGAACTCTGCACTGGGCTGCACCTTCTGACACAGATGCCTCAGATCCTCCATGTGCTCTTTAGTCCATTATTATCTTTTATCTCCAAAGAGAAAGGGCCAGAACACCACCACATGCTTCCTCCTGCACAAAAGCACAGAACAGCTGACTCTGAAGGACATGTTGGCATGGGAAAGTGCTGCAAGATGTCCTTTAAATTACCATCCCCAGAGCAAATCCCCTGCCTCTTAAGAGAAGTCCCCCACCTATCCCAATGCCAGGTCTTTCTCTTACCTGAACATAATCCAAAACCATGCCTGCCATAACCATGCCAAGCCCAGCCAGGAGGTATGGCAGGAGCACCTGCAGGCAGATTGTGATGGCTGACTCTTCCTGTGCCTTTGACATGGCCGCTTTCTCCTCGGACAACGGCTTCTGCTGTGCATGCAGACAGACATCCTCTGCCTCCTGGCTGCCAAATCGGCTCTCTCTGTGTTTACCCTTGCTCTTTGCTTTGTGCCTGGATCGCTCTCCATTCCTAGTCCTGCCCTCTTTTCTCCTCTGCCGAACCTCCTCACCTTTCATGGTGGCTTTCGTGAATCACAGGGTTTCTCTGAAAAACAAAGCCAGACACAATGAGATAATGAGAAAAGGCACCAAATGGGTCAGAGGTAGGAAACTCTTTGGTATTTTGCCCAATTCACTAACCTGGAGTCAAACTGCCACCTACTTCCCAAGCTGTAGATGCTCTGCTAACCCAGGTAGTGGTACCTAGTTTACCTTCAACTTTGCATTGTATCAAGTCCCTTTCTGTAACTGCATCTCTTCCTAAGCTTGTGTTCACACTGGAGTGCTGCTGTACATCATGGATCTTATCCTGAGAACACCTAGAAGGATGCGGAAGATGCTGCACACAGCCTGAATTCTGGACCCAGCACTGGAAATCATGAGAACTGAGGAGCACAGCAGAATCCAACCCTTTTTAGGGCTGAAGTCGTAGCCATGAAATGGGAGCAGGTCACATCCTAGCACAGAATCACAGACTCGTTTGGGCTGGAAGGGACCTTAAAGTTCATCCAGTTCCAACCCCCTGCCACGGGCAGGGACACCTTCCACTAGAGCAGCTTGCTTCAAGCCCTGTCCAACCTGGTCTTGAACACTGCCGGAGATGGGGCATCCTGCAGTCCAGCAAAGGATGGACATACCCAGCACAGTACAGGTGTGTACTACGTGTAGTAATTAGCACCAACCATAGCACAGCTAGCTGTCCATCACTGCTTGATAACACGATTCTTTGATCTTCTTTCTCATCTGGATACTTTTTCCTTCTTTTGTGCCTTAGCTGACACGCATGCACTATGTGACTCATCTATCTACAGAGAAGATGCCACGACCCCGCAGTATCTTATAAGGAAAAACCAAACATGCACAATTGTTACCAGCCACCCTTTTCCTCCCATCACGTCTCATTTCTTGACATAACTGTCCTTCATCCTGCCTGCCCTCCTGCTGGCTCAGGCGGTGCCCCAAATCCTTCCCCATCACCTCCTGCCAGCGCTCATCCGGGTTAACCACTGACAGATGTTCCCTGATGCTCTCGGTTTCAGGACGCGCCCCTAGCGCCCTGAACCGCTGCACAATCAATCCTCTTCTTGCCCAACATCTGGGGAGCAGAGGAAACTGCTGGGAGGCCCCAGTGACGGCCGAGAGAGAAAGGAGGGAGAAGGGATGGACAAAACAAAGTCCCCCCTGCGGGAGGAGGAAACCCGGCCCCCGATGCATCCCCACCCCATCGCTTACCGGCTGCTCGCCCTGCCCGTGGCAGTGCCCTGCGCGGGACTGCGCCCGCAGGGCCGCGGCCGGAACGATGCCAACGCGGGAAGCGCCCGCCACATCTGGAGCGCGGCGGCGCGGCTCGGAGCCCGCCCTGCGCCGCGGCCGCGGGTTCGAGCCCGGCCCCCGGCCGCTCGGCGGAGGAGGCGGTGCGGTGCCGTGAGTGGCAGCGGGAGGGCCGGCCCCGGCCGCGCTCTGCAGCCCGGCCGCGCCGCACGGCCCACCACGGTACCGCTGTAATACCCCTTCGAGCACACGCGCTGCCAAAGGGGGACCAGGGGCTTGTGGGGGGCACTGGAGTGCTCCAGTGGGGCCGGCTGCTGCTGGGAAACATCCCCTGGAAGGAAGCTCTGGGTACCAGAAAGGGGATGTGCCCAAACCCCCATCCGGAGCTGCTGTCGCTCCGAGAGCCCGCGTTGATCGGGAAGGGGAGCAACGTTCAGCAGGGGCAGAGCGAGCAGGAGGCTGAAATGATGAGCTCAGGAAGGATGTTTCTTCTATGGGGTGTTTGATTTGGGCTTTTTTTTCTGCTTATCTTGGCATCTGCAAGAGCTCTTGTGTCAAGCTTCCTGTGCAAAGCCCTGCAAAACCCACAATCGCAGCAAAACTCGTGTTGATCTGTTATATTCCCCCCTCCCGTGTTGAATCAGCAGGTTAGAAACTTGATCATCATATTTAAGCACACAAATCGCATTAAGCCCTGAAGTAACCGCACTCATGCAAGTGTCCTGACACATGCAGCTTAATTCCCGGGAGAATTGAGGGTATTGAACCATACCTCAGTACCAGAGCACTCCTCTATCCTGCTGAAGTCTCTCAGATGTCATGCTACACTAAAGGGCTCTTGGTGACACAGTGGTGCCTCTGGGCCTGCGAGTTCTGGCTCAAAGCTGGGCACACCAAAGGTTTTGGTAAGTGACAGTAACAAAACCCTGCAGCTGCTGCGTGTGGAGGGTGCACATTAACCGCTAAATGTCACTGCTGGAACAGCAAGGCTTGAATTTCAGCTTGCTTGGTGTAATTTTATGTCCTCACTTCGCAACTGATGCTTCCCCACGAGCAGTCTGAAGATGGTGTTTGCCTGTGGGAAATGAGAGGGGAAGGGATGTGGATTAAGAAAATAGCACTCTTGCCAAGACGGTTTTAGAGCTGTTAAATGTGTTCTGCTATCACTTTACCACTGAGCTTCAAAGAGAAGCATCTACAGAGCAAGCAGAAAGTCTCCTGGGGGCACTTGCTTGACAGGGGCATTTCAGTAATGGTTCCAGCTGAGGAGCATCACCATTCTGCAAAGGATCTAACCTGCATCTAACCAGCAGTTACACCAAGTTACCCCCAGCATCCTGCCAGGTCTGTTTCTGTGCGCAGAAGACATCACTGTTGTCTTCATCCCGCAATCACTGGTGTCTCACTAGTGGGTATCACCAGAGGCACAAAGCTGCTTTCGCAGAAGATAGATCCTGGCTTTGACCTAAGGGAACAGTGGCTGGACCTTGATTGCAAAAGGAGCTGCTGAGACTCTCTAGATGGGATAACTCAGCTGCTCCCTGCAGTCTGGGAACTGTTTGTGGCCTGACACTGAGCAGCCTCATGCTAAAATGTTCTCACTCCCCACTGAAAATCCATGTGTGCTGCTCTCCTCTGCTGTCTCACACATGTGCACGTGAAAGCAGCAGTTACAAGGGTGTCTGAGGACTAATGGACTCAATTCTGTTGCTCTCCACGGTACTTTGAAAGACTGTGTCCTCCAGTAGGAAAATAAGAGTAATTTGATATTCCCTTCTTCTCATCCACGTTGCTTCATTCCTGGACTTCCTTTCCAGCAGCTATTCATAGAATTGTAGAATAGTTCAGGTTGGAAAGGACCTTAACGTCATCGAGTTCCAACCCCCCTGCCATGGGCAGGGACACCTCACTCTAAACCATCTCACCCAAGGCTCTGTCCAACCTGGCCTTGAACACCGCCAGGGATGGAGCATTCACAGCTTCCCTGGGCAACCCATTCCAGTGCCTCAGCACCCTAACAGTGAAGAACTTCCTCCTTATATCCAGTCTATTCCTCCAGACAAGCCCAGGGGAATTTTACAGCTTTTTCCAGTATTCTGTCCAGAGACACCACATTTTTCTTCCCATTTTCCTGGTATAAAACCACATTTCTTTGGTGACTAAGAACTACATTCCTCAAATCTGAATCCTCATTTATGACTACAGTCAACCCTGGTGACAGCCTATGTGTGACTGCTGGGCCATGCATGCTCCCATGTCAGTGCTGGGACTCTTCTAAGGCTGCTCCATGGCTCACTGGACTGCGGTCCCATCACAGGACAAATCTCTGGGCACCCAATGGCTGCACTGCATAAGGAAATATACAGTTTATAACCTTTCTCCTCTGTGAGACAGTGTTAGCTAGTGGGGCTTAAAAGGATGATTTGGAGGTCTGTGTGTAAATAGAAACAGGCAATGCAAACCTCATGTATGATAAATACTTACTAGCTTATAAGTATGGGGTTTTAATCACAGAAAACACAGCAGGAACTTCCCAGAGCTGGGCAAAGGTTTTTCTCCTTTATGTCTTTTTTGAAGGAAAGTGGATTTTATTCTGTTAGCTTTTGGACCAAACAATTTACAGATAGTTCATAGAACCCCAGACTGGTTTGGGTTGGAAGGGACCTTAAAGCTTCTCCAATTCCAACCCCTGCCACGGGCAGGGACCCCTTCCACTGGAGCAGCTTGCTCCAAGCCCCTGTGTCCAACCTGGCCTTGAACACTGCCAGGGATGGGGCAGCCACAGCTTCTCTGGGCACCCTGTGCCAGCGCCTCAGCACCCTCACAGGGAAGAGCTTCTGCCTTATCTCTAATCTCAATTTCCTCTCTGCCATCTTAAAGCCATTGCAATAGTGAGTTAATTTTGTTCTGGTCTCCACCTCCTTCTCTTTCTGTAACAAAGTTCTTGAAGGTGCAGATGTTTGTGTGCACCAGTGGTACTCCAAAAGATTAGAAGTGCCATGTACCTACCTGCCTTCTCTCAGCACCTCCCCTTGCCACAGCCATCCACTACTCAGTTACCCCTGGGACAGTTGTTAAGCCAAGTTACAATCACAGACTTTCACTCAGGTTTCCTATATGGAAATCACCCAGCATAGGAGAGCAAAACCAGTATGGAGATCTGCTTTTTGCAGACCTTACTTGATCTGCAGCACAACAGGCCTTTGTCAAACTGCTCCATAGAGGAATAAAGCCAGCCTAAATCACCATGCTTTCCAAGCACTCTTAAGGGCTGATGAGAGCCACTTGTACACACATGCTAGGCTGCCAAGGACAAGATGAAGCCTTTCCACTCCCCATCTGCCATTAGATGGCAGCAACTGAACGTGGAATAAAGACAAACGCAGCTCTGGAGCCCAATTTATCCTGTGGTTTGAGCAGGGATTTCAAGCTTTTCACTTCTAGGTCAATGGTTCAAATCTGGCCCAGGTCAGGAGGGGCCAGGGATCTTTACAACCCGGCAGCTGCTCAGCGGCCTGAGCGAGGGCAGTCTGCAGTATCCGATCTTGTGGATGGGTGCCCATCCCATCTCTGGCACTAATGGGTACCCTTTTGATACAGCAACAAAGAGGAGGAAGATGCTCCAGAAAGACTGAATTCTCCTCCCTGCACTCCAGATGATTCGACCAAGGGGAGCACTCTTCTCTGTGCACAAGCCTGCCCTCGGTAATGATGCCAGAAGAATATGTTGGCTCTGTTCCTCCTGTAAGCAAATAGCTGCCCAAAATTATCTCATCCCAGACAAGAGGGTGACAGTTGGGGTCTTTTCAGCAGATAGAATTAATTTGTTATTAATTTGGACTATGATATTCAGATAGACGAGTGACGGCGCCATGAAATCCCATCGAACATGTTGTAACACCTATGTTATTTACAGCCTCCCGAGCTGCAGGGACAAACCCCATCCAGCACTGCCTTACAAGGTGACCTAATTTGGAAAAGAGAACAGATAGAGAGTTTTCTCACGTTAGGAGATACCTCACTGTGACTCCTTCCCTTACAAATTCAAAACCCTAAGAGGGACTAGAGCAACTGATACTCTCCAGAGAAACCCATGAGATAAGACATGAGCCTAGCAAGCACGTGATCGTGATATAGTTCAAGCCTGAATGTGTATCGCTCAGCTTGCTCTGCTCAGATTGAAGAGCATGTCACTACGTAAATCCCTTTGGGCAGCTGGGCACCCCTCCAAAGCACAGATTTCCCTTGCTGCTAATGAATCAGCCTCTTTTGCTAACTTACCTCCAAAGCTCGTTTACTTGGAAACCAAAGGAGCTTAGGGAACAAGGTTCTCTCCGTGCATAACAATGACCTATTTTAGATCCTTCTCCTCACGCGGTCATGGAGAAGGGGCAGCAAGAGAGAGTGCTTCTATCCAAAAGGCATTTCCTGGAATCAGTCCTAAACAATGCTGGGCTATTTCCATTTTGAGACCTGACATTTCATGGTGCCAGTGCCGCCACGCAACAGAAAATGCCCATCTGAGCCAGGAATGGGATCCAGCCGTCTCGTTCCAAGGACGCGCACCCAAGACCTCTGCATATGTGGTTGTTATTCTTACAAGCAGCCCTCTTCCCATGGAAATTGGTAGTGTGGAATGGGAATGCTTCACAGTAGTCCTGGAGCAGGATGGCAAATGAGACCAAGGGCATGTTTTCCACCTCTAGGCATGTTTACATCATTGGGCTTTCTCATGTATCATAACCAATATAGTACAGGAAACAGCCATGCATTAGGGAATCTGTCCTTCCTCACCAAGCCCTGTGCTGCTAGAAAGACATATCTGGTATCCCAACAAGGAATGCTTGAAAACAGGAACTGTTTCATGTTCCATCTCATCTCCAAGGTGTCAGCTACCGCCTGAACCCAGGAAGCAGCCAAACACTTCATGGTTTTCCCATTTTTTTTCCTTAAAGAAATGTTCACTGCTGCTAATTCCCAAGTTATTTTCATTGATGAGTCACATCTAAAGTCTTCCATTACTTTGACTAATGGCACATTCAGCTCCCTTAGTGACACACAGCACAAGCCTTTTTCCTGCTCTCCTGAAACAGCCCTATTCTTTGCTGCCCTTGCAGGGTCCACATCTCTCCATCACTGACAGCTAAGGCTACTGAGTCAGAGAGAGAGAAAATAACAATAATAATAGAGTTCTCCTAGCTACCAAGAAGCAGCTATTCATTTGGCTTCATCTCCCAGATTTGCTGATGACAACACCAAATAGGCTCTATTCAGGTAATGTCATTTTCAGCATTAAAAATGGACTCATCTTCCTGACCCCTGAACATTCAATAAGATATCACGATGAATGATTACTCTTAGTCATCTCAGCATGCTTAATTTAGCGTAACTGCACCTTTGCTAAGGAACAAGATGACTCTGTTTGTGCCAAGCACTGAAATTAGTTCCCTGTAGTGCACATCAGAACATGAGTAAAAGCTGGCAGTACTCAGTGTTTCTCTGGCTCCCAGTTTGTAGTGAGCACTTCAAGATAACTTGCAGAACCATTCAGGAATATGTTACAGCTGGAATATCTTGATCCAGGACACGGTCTTGTGACTGGTAACTCTCGTCTCTGGGTTTTTAGGTGCTTTGAGTATGATGGAGGCAGCAGTTGGAAGCCTTTCTCATGTGATGAAGGAGTAGGTAACAGGAGCATCATTTCTGCCATTCAGTTGGTATCTGAATGGTGTCTTGAAGTAAGGTGGCAATCCTTTTACTGAATGTTTTTTTGTAGCTGTTAAAATAAACCATCTTTCAAAACCACTCAGTTTTGCAGAATGTTGGGCGCTATTGACTGTATTTGAAGCTATATCATTGCCCCCAAGGAAAAAGAACAAAACACTCATCCAGCATCCTTTCCCCACAGAGAAATGCCTCTTACTTAAGAGGAATTAAATCTAGACAGTTATTCCTTAGGGCATAGCTGTGCTGAAGTGGTTTTATTAAATGACTTACAAATGAGCATTTTGAAAACGCCTTTCTGGTTTGTTGGGATATTTCCTCAGGCCACTGTTTCCTTCTTGCCTTTTGCTGG